GATGATGGGTCTCCCAAAGATGGCGTTATAGGCCGATCTACCGTCAATTACCACGAACTCGGCCATTTGGGTGACCTGAGTTTGGTCCTGCCCAACTGTGACCGGAAAGTCGATGCAACCCTCTGGGATGACCGATTCTCCAGAGAACCCAACCAGCGGTGTCGGGCTTTTCGTCAATTGCGACCTCGTCCAACCCAGGGCCAGGTAGGTCGGTAAGGACAGGATGTTAGCAGATGCGCCTCCGTCTATCAGCATCCTCCTGACCACCACATGATCAATCAAGTGAGCGATCACAAGTGCGTCATTGTGGGGTAGGTGGACCTCCTCTAAGTCTGTACTGTCGAAGGTGATTGGGCCAGTCGGCCTTTGCTCCCTGATGATGCACACCTCGCGCCTGGCTGCACGAGCTAACTCCTTTCTTTTATGTCCGGACTGACCCCCGCTTGGCCCTCTGAAAATGGTATTGATGACCGCAGGTCGGTCAGTGCGCCGGGGCGGCGTCCTCGAACGCTTCCGCTCTTCCTTGTTTTCTGCCGAGCTGGTCCTGGGCTTTCCCASAAATTTCTTGAAGTAGCCATCTTGAATTAGATCCTCAATTTGGCGCTTCAACTCCCAGCAGTCCGACGTGTTATGACCGTGCTCCCGATGGAAGTGGCAATACTTGTCCTTGCTGCGCCTTTCCGGGGCTCCCCGAAGCTTCTCAGGACGCTTGAGTARTTTTTCCATTCCAGACTCCTTGATGTTCGTTAGGATCTAGGAAATTGGAATCGTGGTCGGGGTGAAGCGTTCGTAAGGTCGGCTCCTAGTAGGTCCGTTCTCCGCCCTTCGATACTCAGCTCGGCCTCTGGAAAAGGATCTCTTGTCTTTGGACTTGGGATCTGCCTTTTCTATATCTTTTCCACTTCTGCCCCGGCCGATCTTTCGTTCTGGTCGGCCGGTTTTGGTTCGGAGGAGCTCCTGTCTATCGATGACCTTCTTCGCCTTCTGAAGCACCTCGGCGAAGGTGGCCGGGGCCTCCTCTCCAAGTTTCACCGTGAGGGCTTCGTCGGCTAGACCGGTGAGAAAATAGCACATGGCCGAGTCATCGGAGCAGTGTGCGACCTTCAACTGCTCCTCCTGGAATCTGGTGACATATTCTCGCAGCGTCTCACCCTCCTTCTGTCTGATGGTGGCGAGATGAGTCGCTGTCTTTTTGTCATAATGCCGAGAAGAGAACTGGGCGAGGAACTCCCTTCTCAGCTGAGAGTAGGTCGAGATCGACCTGGCTAGCAGTCTCCGATACCACAATCGCGCGCTGCCAGTAAGCGCGATCTGAAAGGCGCGACATTTGATTGCGTCTGAGGCCGCTTGGAAATCCATGAGGCCTTCAAAGACCTCAACATAATCCTTGGAGTCCTTCGACCCATCATAAGGCTTCACGGTAGGAGCTTTGAACTTCCGAGGGATCGGTGCTTCACCCAAAACGTCCGAGGTGAAGGGCGATTCTCCCAAGTCGCCATCGTTCAGTGAACCTTCTTTCTGCTCACATTTGGCCTTTAAGGCCTCCACCTGAGCGTCGAGCTTGCCCCTCAGCTGGTCGAACTCTGCCCTTGTGATCACCCCTACGGGAGTTGCTGGGTTGTGAGAGGATTCAGTCTGCTGGTTGGAGCTCCTGTGTGAGCGGGATGGTGACTGTCCTTTTTGGAGAGATTAGCCTCTCTTTCTGTTGAGGTGTTCACGAAGGTCTCCTCTCTGGCGAGTGTGCCCCTCGCTCTCGTTGTCTTCGGGATGTTCCTCCTCGACCGGGCCGAGGTGGGAACCCCTTTGCTCGCGTATGTCAATGCGCGTCATTCGATTTTCAGATCGGGACCCTGCGCCTGCAG